TTGCCTGGGAAATCCCATGGACAGAGGAGCTCAGTGAGCTACAGTCCATGGGGCTGCAAAGAGTCAGACACAACTTAGTGACCAACAACAGCAATAATGGAAATAAGAGAAACAATAGTGCTTCAATTTTTACTATATGATGGATGGATGGATTTTTTTTCCTAACACTTTTCTATCCTTCCTAGGCTACCCTAAGGTATAATGTGCTGCTACCTAAGAAGGAATCTGGATTTTCCCTTTCCTTACAAATAGTAAAGAAAAACTCTTCGGATGTATCCCAGAGTAATTTTGACCTGACAGTAACCCTCAGGTAAGTGTCCCATTTTGATGTCAACTCTCAGGTTAGAGAGAAAGTGGTGCATCAGAAAAGTTAAACAAAATATAGAAAGCACTCATTTGAAAAGACACATGCACTCCAATGTTCATAGTAGCACTATTTATAATGGAAGCAACCTGGGTTTCCCTGGTGGCTCAGCAGTAAAGAATCCACCTGCAATGCAGGAGCTGCAGGAGACCTAGGTTCAATCCCTGGGTTGGGAAGATCCCCTGGAGAAGGAAATGGCAACCCACTCCAGTATTCTTGCCTAGAGAATCCCCATGGACAGAGGAGCCTGGCGGGCTACAGTCTGTGGGCTTGCAAAGAGTCAGGCATGTCTGAGAGACTCAGTACAAAGCACATGCCAAGTGAAATAAGTCAGACAGAGAAGGACAAACACTGTATGATATCACTTACATGTGGAAACTAAAGGATACAACGAACTAGTGAATATAACAAAAAAGAGGTGGACTTACAGATATAAAGAACAAACTAGTGATTACCAGTGGGGAGAAGGGGGAGTGGGAATCTGTGGATTGGGGAGTGGGAGGCACAAACCATGGAGGGTGTAAGATAGACTCAAGGATGTATTGTACAGCCCTGGGGGATATAGCCAATATTTTTTAATAACTATAAATGGAGACTAATCTTTAAATTGTATAAAAAATATTTATACATTGATAATGTCAATAATCACATGTTGATGGTGATATTTCTATAATGTGGTCAATTCATTGCTCTCTGTGCCCACATCACAATTTAGTACATCTTCAACTAAGTCAAAGCTAGAATTATGCAAACATAATCTGTACTGTATGCAATTTGAAAGCTTCTGCCACACTACTCCTTCAGCAGTGCTTCCACCTTTCTGTGTGTCAGTTTTGCAAAACAGAGATACAATCTTCTTTCTAAAGACAAGCATGGGTGGGCCAAGAAGAGAAAACCTGCTAACATTTATTTAATCATTAATATAACTGTACGCAAAGCAAAATTTTAGATATTTTTCCGTGTAGAAAAGCAAAGTAATTCTCTTGAATTAAAATATAATTTATAGGCACTGAAGAGTTTTAGTCTTGGTTAATGTGTGGAGAAACATTGAGTAAAATTAGTTTCAGGGATTTTTCTCAGGATTTCAAAATGAAAATCTGTTGAACACTAATGCTAATAATATAATACACAGCTCTCAACTTCATGTTCCAACAATTTTATTCAAAGTTGGGGGTATAACCTAGAAGGTCTCTTGGGGACATGTCTGTTGTATGATTTTGTCTACATCCTGCTTTTTAAACATGGGTCTCTTCTAAGTGATGCACAGAATCTAAGGCTGACATAAGTATGTGTGCTGTGCTCAGCCGCTTCAGTCATGTCCAACTCTTCGCACCCCTGTGGACTGTAGTCCTCATGGCTCCTCCATCCCCGGAATTCTTCAGGCAAGAACACTGGAGTGGGTTGCCATACCCTTCTCTAGTTGATCTTCCTGACCCAAGGATGGAATCTGTGTCCCTTGTTTCTCCAGCATTACAGGCATATTTTTACCCACTGAGCCACCATATGTGTAATATAAGTTTAAAAGTTTTGTCTATAAGTTCTGACTTTAAAGCCTCAAGTAAGCTTAAAAGCAGGATTTGGGGATATTAGGTCCATTCATTCTTTACTCCAATTTATGTTGCTTTGAATCATCTCAGCCACGATCACTCTAACTGTGCTTGTTTACAGATGTGTGAGAATGACTATCTTCAGATTATTCTCCAGCTTTTGCCTCTCCTCCAGGCTTAGAGCCAATTGGCATCAATGTACTCATATCCTTGCCATAAGGTTAAGTCACTTCTAAAATGATGTCTAAGTTAGTGTTTTGTTTTTAAATTTCAGATATACGGGAACTCGCAATAACTCCAACATGGTCCTTGTTGATGTAAAAATGTTATCAGGATTTGCCCCAGTCATGTCATCCATCGAAGAGGTAAGTAAGAGAAGCTCAGTCTTTCAACATCCAAAAAGCAGTAGTGTGTTGATGAAACAGTTGGTTAGCAAAGACAAGCTGTGTAATTCTTCACTTAAGCAAACGTTCACAGTTCACACTCATATTTTTGCTAAAACAGTGGTGGAATGGATTCTTGATTTATAGCAATTAGAAGTCATTATTCCCAATAGTTTGTAACTTATTTTTTAAATTTAGTTCTAACTTGTATTTATGAAAACATCATGGCACAAGGGAATGAATGTTCCATAAAATAACTTCTTGTTACTGGTTAGAGAAAAAGCAAGAAACATTCAGTTCTGAAATGATGCTCTTTCATATTTATCCCTGCCTGCCAATTTCCTTAAAGCTTGAAAATAATGGCCAAGTAATGAAGAGTGAATTCAAGAATGACCATGTTCTTTTCTACCTGGAAAATGTAAGTTGACAATAATTTTTTTCTCTGCGGCTTTCTTTTTCTTCTGAGAGTAACTGGATGCTTTGATTTCTCATAAACATACATGATAGGGTTTGTCAAAACTATGTGAGATGTTAAATGTGATCAGTGTTCTTACACCCCACTAATTGTTTTTTCCCTCTTAAATACTATGCTATTTCGTGTATGCCTTGGCTAACTGGATGATTCTCAAGTTTAGAAGCATCATTTCCCCATTCTTTTATTCCTCACAGCATCTAACATAGTCTGGTCAAAGATGTACAATTCTTTTACAATTTGACTTGAACTCCAGCAGAGGCTGGCATGAGTTTCAGACTCATCCTTTCTATGTATACATCATTAACATTCACAAAAATGCCTACATTTTTCTAACATTTTCAACTTTCTTGTACCTCAATATAATCGGTGAAACAACATTTTGCACAATTTAATGTTACTTAATTCATTATTTTGTCATTATGTAAGATCATGACACCCTGGATTTATCATAAACTTCTGGAACTAATTTGCTCTGTGGTTTTCCTTTTTTGCAGGCCTGCTCTGGTGTATTTATAATCTGTATCTTTATAGGTTTCAGGTACAGCAAAGAGTTTCACCTTCTCTGTTGAGCAAATCAACCATGTGGCAAACATTCAGCCAGCCCCAGTCATGGTCTACGATTATTATGAAAAAGGTAGGTAGGCAACAACCATGCTTTAAAACTACTGGAAGTTACATCTGTATCTAGGATTCCCTGAACAACTTAATTTTTGAAAATCATCCTTGGTCTTCAATATCTGGGTTTACTTTACATATTGTTTTTTTACTCCATTATATATACATATATTATATATTAATGTAATTTTTATATATTTATATATTTGTTTATATTTATATATGCATTTATTATATTGTTTATAAATATTTATATATTTTATGTATACTTATATATATATATATATATATAAACTTCTGACTGGGCCTTTTTCTATTTGCCAGAATTTTTCAACACCTAGAATCCTTTTGATATAATGAGAAGGCACTCCCTTTAATTTGAAATACAAACCAGCTAAGCTTCCAGGTCTTGTTGCTGTTGTTTTTGTTGTTAATGGCTGAAACTTACCATTTCATGCTACATCTATGGACTTTAATTTGAGAGGAATAGTGAGAAATATTCTGAAATGTTATAGGCAAATCTTGATTAGGTTTCAAAGCAGTTACTAATGCTATTCAGAAGATTTTTTTAAAATGTTCCCTGGAAGGTTAGTGCTATTAATTTCTTGTTGAATGTCATGAGAAGTTTGTCAACCAGTCTTTGGGGATTTTTGGTGGGGTTTTTTGTCATTCTTTTGTTTTTTTGGCTGTGCTGGGTCTTTGTGGCAGGATGCAGACTCAGTAGCCCTACAGCATGTGGGATCCTGGTTCCCCCACCAGGGATCAATCTTGCGTCCTCTGCATTTGAAGGTAGATTCTTAACCACTGGATCACAAGGAAACCCCTGTAAAGCAGTCTTTAAATTCTGACTCTGTCATTTACTAATTGAATGTACTTTGTCAAGTGCCTTAAACTCTGATACAATGTTCCTGGATTTAGAAAATAGAAGGAATTGACTTTCTTGAAAAATTACTGGAAGTGTTAGACCTAGTGTGATTATATTGTCTGACATCATCTGGTTATAGAAAGTTGGAGTAATAATAAGGATGAACTTTCTTTTT